ATATCGTATTGTGTAACATTTGGTGCATAAAAATATCAAGGCAAAAAAAAGCCATGATCATAAGAGTTTGCACGATATAAATAAACAAGAATAAAGTTGACCTTGGTAGTATTTTTAAGATTTAAAATTTCATTTTAAATTGACCAAATTCATAACTACAGCTTTGAATATTATAAACCAACTTGAAAAATTGTATTAGTAATGTATTTCGACTAAATAGCTATTAGAACAATCTTGTCGTGCACGTAAGCGGTCTTTATTTTTTATCTGATTTCTCGAATATTTTGCTTGAAAATTCTATATAGTGCAAATTCAAAAACTTCCACAAAATCAATTCTTCAAAGCTTTTTGCCCACAAACCGTACAATACAATTGGTTCGGTTCTTTATCATATTTGAACCATTTTTCTTCAAATAATTTTTTGGAATATCAATTTAGAATATGTCCTATTTCCAAGAACCTTATCAATAAATCTCACAATCCCTCTTTTATCTAAATCTGTCAAGGATTGAATGGTTTAATTTATTTTCACTCTTGGTCTTTAGATATAAGGTAAAGGGTTATTAATTCAGCGTTATAACGAATTAATATGCTCCAACAAATTTAGTTGGAATTCTACATCAATATGAAACAAAAAAAAGCAACAATTGGACAAAAGAGTTGTTTCAGATAATCAATGACGAAAGGCTTGCTTGCCAAAGATTTAAACACCTTCAACTGCCAACGCTCCTAATAAAAAACAAAAAATAAAAAAAATATATTTGATGATATATCATTTAAGATTCCAATCGGATAATATTCAAGAATTTACAACTATCCTTCAAAAATTTAACCCACAAAATATTCTCAACATTTTTTTATGATTTCGAATGCTTTTAGTAATATAGATATTTGGGGCGTAATATTCACAAAATTTTATATGGCAAATATGACAAATGTAAGAAAAATTTAAAAAGTGATTTATGATATTTGGGGCATAATATTCACAAAATTTTATATGGCAAATATGACAAATGTAAGAAAAATTTAAAAAGTAATTTATGATATTTGGGGCGTAATATTCACAAAATTTTATATGGCAAATATGACAAATGTAAGAAAAATTTAAAAAGTGATTTATGATATTTGGGGCGTAATATTCACAAAATTTTATATGGCAAATATGACAAATGTAAGAAAAATTAAAAAGTGATTTATCCCTCGATGTCACTTCAAATCTATTTTTTTAAAATTATTCATAGTTCTAAATAATAAAACAAAATAAAAACTAATATATATAAATGTGAGATTGATCTGATTCATAAATACGGGTTTGAATATTATAAACCATTCCGATACCAGAAATCCGTTTACTGCCTTTATAAATTATTTCAGTAATATTTGTCATATAATCATCAAATTTTTTGGCCGATACAGTTTTATTTTGTGGATTATAAGTAACACCATAAAGTAAAATATTTTCATTGATGCACGCATATGCGGCCCAAACTTGCTGTTTAGAGTCAAGGGTGTATTCATCTAGATCCAATGTTGTTAGCAATTGGGATGGACTGTGAAAACACAACCGTATACTTTTCTTAACTGAATTTTCATGTGCCTTTAGGTAGTTGTAAAGTCTCCGAGTGGTCGGGCCAAAAGCATTAATGGTAAAGCTGTGCATTTTTTTAGGTCTTCTTTTATAACGTGTGGCGCGAAAGCTTTGCTTCCGGGTTATTGCCATGATTAATGAAGGAATTATTTTATTAAATTTGAAATTATTATTAATATTATTAATAAAATATACGTTAGCTTGTATATACTAGTAAATTAGAACTGGACGTTTTGGCACTTTTATACTTTTTCCACAAAATATAATGGTTAAAAATTCTAATTACTGCACCATTCGGAAAAGATTTTGCAATAAAACAAAAAGTTTACGCGACATTATAAATTTGTATAACATAACACTGTCTTTTAATCGAATGTTTAATCATGAGATAAATTTTATTTGCGCGCAAGTTTGTACTAAAATATATGCCGAAAGTTAACCTTATGAATGAAACAAGGAAAATTGGTACTTATCGGTTTACGTAAGTAGAAAGGTTAAAGCCGAACACTCAAAGTTACTTACGCGCATTAACGTAATCTCTATTAGTAATGAAATTTTAAATAATTTCTTATGTAGTTTTAAAATAAATCAACAGTTTATTTATATGTACTGTAATTCACAAGTCTATGTCTAAATGCCAATTTTTATTTTTAAAAGGGTTACTTATGATAAGCATGAAACAAAGAAATTGTTACTTACGAAATAAATACTTATAAACAAAATGTTGCACCTAGAGGTGTGAACTGTGATTGTAGTTTATTTTATAACTACAGTTAACTAACAGTAGTTTTACAATAAACTACAGTTTATTTATATTTAACTAATAGTTTACGGATCGTATCTCAACATATGCCCTAAGGTTAACCATATGAATGAACAAAGAAAATTGGCATTTACGTGTAATTGTATTTTCTAATAAAATAGTTATATTGTTGTATTCGATTGCTCTAATATATTACGTAATTTTGTTTGAAAATTCCATGAATCTTATTAAACAAAGAAATGGAAAACTACGCGCGGTTAGTTACTATTTCTAATCGGAATATCGCGTGTAGTTTATTTAATGTACTGAACTATATAAAAATTTTCAAAATAATTATAATTCAATTAGATTTTGTCTTACTCGAAAGGCTTCATCTTTCTTTTAACATAAAAAGATATCTTAATTTCTGATTATACATTCAATTAATTAAATACAAGTTAAAGAAAATTCTTTGTCAAGTATTAAAGATTTCATAAGCAAACCTTTACGACAGTTCTGCGTAAGAATTCCAATTATGTATAGAAATCAACCATTTATAGAATTTTAATTAATAACTTTCGCGTAATCTGAAACAAGAACAAGTCTGAACAAAAATTTTACGCATTTCTGGGTGGTATATTAATTTAAACTTTCAACAAGAAGATTTCTAACTCAATTAACGTTAGTATAATTTAAAAATATATTTTTATCTAGAATAAGATAATATTTAGTGACACGTAATTACAAGTTGTTCAGCAAAACTAACCCTTCAGTTAACACAATATTAAACAAAGAAATTGTGCTTTATACGCGAAGGGATTTGACCCGATTGGTGTAATGATACAGTATATATGTAATATAAGATGTTTAATGACGCGTCGTTTTGTAGTCCTCTGTAGTATCAAAAATTCTTTGCACTTTACCGCAACAGGTCTTTTAACCGAATGGTTAATCAGAAGAAATAAGTGGGAATAAAGAACATTCGATTTCTAAATGATTCTTGAAACAAGGATATACCTTTTCAAATTAAATTTAATTTTAAATTCTACACACGAGGGTAAGTTTAATTTACAATATATGTGAAAGTTATTTTCACAATGAAAATTTTCGAAGTAATTCAATTTAAATTTTGTCTTACACAAAAGACTCCACCTTTATATATTACGTAACATTAAAATTTTTCGTGAATAAACTTTTACTTACTTATTTCTCAACTATTATTACTAATGCAATCTGCACAAAAAATAATTTATACAAAAATTTATATTAGAAATGTATCTTAATAAAATATATAAAAAAGATGTCTCAAAATTTTGATTCTATAAAGCATAAATGGAAAAGATAGTCAAATTAAGTCTTAAGTCAGAAAATGATTGTTTTTTAATCCGTGAAGTAAATAGACACATAGCCAAAGCTAAAAATTGCATTATAATTACTGGAGCAGGCATATCATGTAGTGCGGGAATTCCTGTAAGTAATATCACTTTCTTCTTGAGATTTCAACAGCCATTAATTTTAAAAATTAATATTTTTCTTATAACCAAAGGATTTTATAAGTTCAGACGGTCTTTACAATATGATAAAAAGTCAATATCCGGGTGTTTTTCGTTCGGGCAAAGATTTATTTGATGTTCAATTGCTTAGAACTCATGATACTATTAAGAGATTTAATCTTTTCATGGGTATATTAAAAGAATTAATTGTAAATGCTAAACCCACAGCCACTCATTCTTTTATAAAAAAATTGGCAGATATGAAAAAATTAAAAAGAGTGTATATACAAAATATAGATAATCTTGAAGAATTAGTAGGATTTGATGTTAATTGGCAATTTGAAAGAGTAAAAAACTGCAAAGTTCAAGTAGTCCAATTACATGGAACTTTGTCAAAATTACGATGTAATGCTTGCACAAACATTTGTCTATTTACACCGCAATATTGTGAGATTTTCAAGGAAGGTGGAGCGCCAAATTGCCCCGAATGTGTAGAGAGAGGTAAATACATAAAATACCGTATATTCCTGAATAAAAACAACCAAAACAACATTCTCAATAATATGTTTCTAATTACTAATAGAAACACAAGGGTCAAACAAGGGAGACGACCACATTTTATTGGTCAATTAAAACCAACAGTAATCCTTTATGGTGACACACATCCTAAAGGGTTAGAAATAAGCCAAATAGCTAAACGCGATCAGGATAAAGCTGATTGTTTATTAATAATGGGAACCTCTTTAAGAATTCCTGGAGTAAAAGATCTTATTAAGGGTTTTGCAAGAGCGGTTCACGGTCATGACAGTTGCATAATATTGGTTAATGTCACGGATGTAGCTAATAAAGGATGAAATGGTGTTATTGATTATCAAATAGAAGGTACCTGTGATGAGTGGGTTAAACTTGTTGACTTAGAGTTATTAAATAACAAAAGAATTTCAAAGCAACAAAAAATAAGTTTGCCAAACCAAATAATAAAATACAAACAGGAAAAAAAAAACTTATCAAGCAAGAGAAAAAAGAAATTAGAAAGGTTTCCAAGTACGAATTTTAAGAATAATTCAAGATACCATTAAAACGATTAATCATTAAGTGTAGACAAATTATTGAATATTCCCATGTTAAAAGAAATGGTCACAAATCTTTTGAAAAATATTTTTGGAAAAACATGGAAGCTGAACACAGAAACATACGTAAAATATGTAAAAAATACGTAAAATATACACATTTCGTGTTTTTAGAGATGTGACCCGTTATCTAAATTTTATTAATAAAATCCAACAATAGATTTATTAATAAATTTATATTCAGTGAATATTCAATAGATTTATTAATAAATTTCGTTTCAGTGAATAACGGTCATATCTATAATAATAATCGATTACATATAAACTTTAAGCTACCATTAAATTGAATGATTACATATAAACTTTAAGCTCTAATATCACATATTTGATAGGAAGAAACCCAAGATAATAGGGACACTAATAGGAAGAAATTCATGTTTTCTAGTGATTTGATATAAAAATAATTTTCTTTTGCAATATTTGGTTTCCAAAAGTACTCATGCATAATTGAAAAGCTATGAAAAAAGAAATTCTGTTTAGAGCTAAACAAGATAAAAAAACAATAGAAATAATCGGCGATATGATCAAAATATTAATACCAGATTAACTAATATTGAATTTCGAAATTTGAATTTTTTTTTTTTCTATGTTCTCCATTAGATAGATTATTGCACATACATGAGTTATTTGTATTGTCACTATAATGTATAAACATTAATAATTGTCGCGGCTGATGTTGAAAGTTGAGATCTCGATTTGAAAATATAAATCTACTAAAATCCACAAGCTAATAGAATTCTGTAAATATATTACATATTAAGTCAAGTGCCATTTAAAAATTGCAAGCGGGCGACGAAGTTGCCGCCACATTTACATTGCTAGTTAATCAAATTAAAAAGAATTCCGATTATAATGATGCAGACTCTTTTTGCTGATCATTAGAGGGATAAATTTTATTTAGAAATAACTTTTATAAGGCGCTTTACATTTCACACCAATTTAGCATAGTTCTTTCGAATACTAACCATATTACACATTTATAATGCAACACAAACGCAATAATATAATGTAATACATTTGCGATGTTCAATCACTATAATTCATGTAAAACAACTTTTGAATAATTACAAACGGAGAGCGAACATCGAAAGAGATCAAAAGAATAAGTTAAAACTCATTTCATTTATTATTTTAAATATCAACTTATGAATAATTTCAATTCAAAAAAAACAGCTTTAAGTTTATTTGTAATCGTTTAATATATAAAATTGTTCATATTAGAGCTTAAAGTTATATGAATCTTTCAATATATAAAATTGTAGCTTAAAGATTGTATGTAATCGTATAATATATAAAAATATTCATATAAGATTTTTAACCAATAAGAATTTGTTACACAAAATCAATAACACAAAATTAGCCAATCATATGGGATTATAAATCTCAAAATTTGCTTTTTGCTGTCTAGTACTGTATTTTATTTATTAATAATAAATTACAGCATTGCTTTTGTCAGTAATACTTCTTAAAGCGATCACTTCTCTCCCAAATGCATTACTATGCAGATCTAAAGAAGTTAAAGTACTATTTTCACAAAGAGCATCTGCTATTGCTTTTCCACCTTCAGGTCCAAGTCGATTATTGCCAAGGTCTAAAGAAGTTAAGGTAATATTTTTGTGAAGAGCATCTGCTATTGCTTTTCCAACCTCATACAAGTTGATTATTACAAAGGTTTAAGGAAATTAATGTGTTATTTTTGCAAATTGTATCTGCTATTGCTTTACCTCCTTCAGAACCAAGTTGATTATTCTCAGATCTAAAGAAACTAATGTACAATTATTCTTTAAAAGTGTATCTGATAACATTTTTTCTGCCTCTGAATCAAGATTATTACGCCCAAGATTCAAATAAGTTAGAGTAGTGTTATGGCAAAGAGTGGTTAAAAATACTTTTCCTTTCTTTAAACCAAGTTGATTATTATTTAAATTTAATGAAGTTGAAGTCTTATTTTTGCAAATTGAATCTGCCAACATTTTTCCACCATCAAAAGCAAGTTTATTAGAGGAAAGATCTAAACAAAATACTGAAGTATTTTCACTATAGAAATTTGCAAATGCTTTCTAAAATTCCGAACCAAGTTGATTATAGTAAAGTTTCAAAGATGTCAAAGTATTATTTTTAGTAAGAGTGTCTACTACTTCTTTTGAGCTCTCAATATCAAACCTATAATCTGATAATATCAAAGATGTTAATGTACTAGTTTTGTGAAGAGTGCCTATTAATGCATTCGCCCCTACATAATTAAGTCTTCTTCCGCCTAATTTTAATTCCTTAAGTCTCTTGCTTGTTCGTAGAATCATTTTTATCAAAGTGTTTGTGATTGAAATCGTAATAAAATCTTGGTTATATTTAAATCCATCTCGTCTGGGCCAATTTTTAACACAAACAGTATATTTAAATTCTTCTTGTCTGAGCCAATTTTTAACACCAATAGTTAAATCATAATCATAAACTTTCTTAATATAACTTGAATATTTAAATAATGTTTTTACATTATTTGGAAATTTAATTTTAAATGGAATCAGTAGTGCTTGTTCTTCAGTATTTAATCCTAAAAGAAATATTCGGATAGTTTCTACGTTTTTAAGTAAAGGTTTGCTCTATAATATGGGAATTATGATTCTACACCATTGACGATTTACAAGAAGGCATAAAAATAAATTTCCATAACTTCTATAATCATTTAGTAAGAATTCAAGTACTTTAATAAGACATTCGTTTGGTAAAGAGAACATTTAAAAATTTTGTTGTTTGAAAAATTTTAGAATATTCCACATTGAACTGAGCCAATTTTATAAGATTTGAAATTAATAAACTAAGAATATTAATCTACAATTTTGGTTAATTTTTTTTACTCTATACGTGCTTAATTATATAAAATGAAAAGTTCTTTATTGAATTCTAGTGCAATTAAAGAAATCAAAAGTCTTTGTTACTATATATAGTCTTTTGACCTATGGCGGCATATGATAAATTTGGAGACAGAAATTTTTGTGTAATTAAATAACTCGTGAAATAAGAGCAATTTTAAAATAATACTCTTGCAATTATATACATAAAGGTTTTCTAAGATTAAGCAAATATGTGAAAGTAGTAAGTTACTTCTCATTAAAAATCATATATATTTTAATAAATCTATAAAATCTTAAGTTTTAAATATTATTTTAAAAAATGTAACCGACAAAAACTATTGTTTTTTATTAGTACAGTATAACCTCCGCAACAGTCACGTTCGTATTTGTCACAATAGTTATAGCCACCTTAATTCTTCTATCTAACTATATACATTATATATAAATTCTTGCTCGCTTTAGTCACAATCTCGCAATAGGAACATAGAATGCCTGATTTTAGCATGTGGTTATTGGGTTATACAGTACTATCCAAATTATAGGTTGGAATTTTTAAAAGCTATTATGTTTTATAATTTTTTTTATCCAATCAGAATTAGTATATAACGCATTCTTATTAGTTAAAAAGCATTTATATATACCCAAATTTCTTTTGATGTGAAGTGACTTGGTGCAATGAATATTGCTGAAACAAGAAAATGGGTCTTGCCCATAACTATGCATGAAATATTTGGATAAAAACATGTCTATAATTATTAAGAGATAAATTTTTAATTGTTAACATCATTATATCTCGAATGAAAGGCCTCTGCGGTCTTTTGTCCGAATGGTTAGCTTTTGATGAGTATAAATGAAAAATTCTTATGAGTTAATGAAATCTGTAATATTGAATAATTACTTCCTCAATCAAGTCTGAATTTGTTTTGTTTCAATTTAAAGAAACAAAAAGTATTTAAAATAACCGCGCTTACAAAAAAAACTTCTACAAATAGAATTCCAAATAAATAATCATATGTGTGAAAATTTATTTTAACAATAATTTTACTAAAGCAAGAAATAGAATTAATATATTACTAGCCTTTTGATCGAATGTTTATTTTTAAATTGTTAGATAGTAAAATCATGGCTTTTTTTAGCACTATAACACTTTCCTGATATAGTAGTGTGGAAGATCTTCATTTAGTTAGGTAAAATAGTAAATGCTTAATAAAATGATAGAATTTCCGAATAACTAGATATAGTAGAGACAAAATGGGAGTTCTGGCACAATTTTTGTTACCCTATATCAATCTTGCATATAAATTCGCTTTTGC